TGTAAAGTGTTATATTACACGAGCACTGGTCGCATCCATCGACATATATATACATATACATATGTCGATTGTCAGCATATGTATGACACTAATCCATTGAACTAGACATATGTAAACTGTTTGATCATATTGATCGCTTCAACTGTCTCTATAATAATAAGATTTAAAAAAATATATTAGTTTGTAAATGTGAATGTTACTAAAATCTAAGCCTTAATAAGATTTCTTTTTCAATAGATTGTAATAGGCTCTTAAGAAGAAATAGTTTAAGTGTATGCCAAAAATATGTGTATGAAACTTAAAAGATCTATAACCGATCATAAAATTTATTTATATTCATGAAGAATTTTTAGATAATAATATAAACTCAACAAAAATACATTAGATATTTTGATAGTTAGTGAATTATGACTTCACTGTGAGAATTTACTGATATTTAAAAAAGAAAAAATTATTCTTTGATTCATCAATACAACATAAAACATTACGACAATTTCTTATTTCATTGTAAATTCACTTTCGATCATTAAGATAATCATTTATCATTAAAACAAAACCACACATAACTACAACTGACAAATCGACTGATAGAATACTATTAACAATACTGAATAGAGAATAAATTGAAATATTTCATTAGTATAATTCCATTTGATTGATATTATATTATTTCTTCCATCATAATAACATGTATTATTCTTTTGGGAAGCGAACAATTGTCCCTATGGACAGATACACGCTATGCAAGTTTTTATAAGAATTCTGAATAAAATATCGAAACGTCATTATGCAATGAATTAATTTCTTATGAGAGAATGACCATTATCATAAGCTGATTGATTTAGTGGACTAATATCTGTCAAATTGATGGTTCAAATATAATGACAAGTTGTATTCAATGAAATACATACATATTATATAAACCGCAAAGAATAACAGAATGACCTCAGAAGAAATAATTATGTCAGTTACAATATCAAAAACCTCTAAAAATGTACCTTGATCACTATACAACGACTATTCATACATAGTTGACTAGAAAAGTGACATAGAAATTCTTTGAAAATGTGAATATTCTAGAAAATATGCGTGTCATGGATGAGAGTGTGAGTTGGCTATGGATAAAAATAAGATCCACAACCTTCGTGAACAAGTGCCAAAACGAGCTAACGTCCTACACCCATTCTTATCTATTTAAAAAAGAATACTTTCAAAAGTGAACCTTTGTATTAATATAACTTCTTA